CCACAGTCAAACCAAACTTCAAAGGGTTTATATGAGGTGTAAATTATGTTACACCATTTTTTTATGGAAGTAATGAAAAATGTTTTGATGTCGTAGGCACTTTAAGCAAGCAATAAGTCTGAACGAACACCATAATTGAAAATAGATAGTTACAAAAAATGAAATATCTGTAGTGTTTAATTTTTGTACCATTTTCAACAGGACAACCGTAGCTGGTTTCTCAGCACAAAGGGCAAGAAAGGACAGTGGAACAACGCCGTCTGCTCCGACCATCATCCCTACGTTTGCGAGGCTCCTATTATATAATGATAGGAAAGTTAAATCCTTGAGGAAAAACACCATTTATTGAAGATAATGTGGGGCCAAATAAAGCGTAACCAATGCATCAAAATAATTGCAGGACACCTTAGTACATGTGTACACTTGATGCTACTGTTTCTAGCTTGATCACATATAGAAGGCTTTAATGATCACCCTGCATTTTGCACTGTTGAGAAATAAATTTTTTTCTGAATGAACTTTAAGTGACTTGTATTAATTTCTCAGCAATAGAGACTTCATTCTATACATGTAGTAGAGTTCTTAAGTCTTTAGTTTTAGAGTTGAATTAATAAATGATTCTATCTACATTTAGACGTGCCATAATGTCAAGTTACATCTGTTAATGAATCATCATAATTTGCATTTCTTTGTTAACCTCTAGGGTTAATGGTTTATTTCAATACATGACAGCATTACAATTAGTTTTTTTACAATACACAATTTTTACAACAGTCATGCCTTCAAATATCAGAGTTATCAACCAAGAATTGAGGTATTCAAAAACTTGTATTTCCCTAGCCGCGGCGACTGTTGCAGGGCTTCCTTTGCTTGCAGTCTTTTACACATCTGCCTGTTGTTAGGGCTAAGTAAAAGACTGCAAGCAAGAGAAGCCCTGCAACAGTCGCCGCGGCTAGTATTTCCCCAGAACAATCGTAGACTGGAACTCGTTGCCACCAAGCACAGTTGGGGCATCATCACTAGAAAGCTTTTAACAACTCCTGCAATCAAATGTGCAAAGATTGAGTGTAACAAGCCGTTCGGTGTGATATTGCTAGTGTAACGAGCCGTTCCTTGGCCCTGTCCCCCACCCCAGGGGTATCGAAATGAGACGAGACGCAGAGAGAGATGAGGCTCTGGCAAGGTCTGTATTCATGAAGTCAGGCACATGTCTGGAACTGCACTGGATCTAGCTAGTTCTGACAGGTGACCTCTGGGGGTCACCGGACTGGCCTATTGTACTGGTAGGGGGGTATCTTTAGGATCTTATACTCTTCTCCCCTACGGAAAACAAAACTTCTCCTGAAGTTTAACTTTAAAAAAAATATATAATATACTAGAACTCTGTAACAACAAGAAACGAAACGAACAAAAATATATAGTACAATGAGGATCACTACTGTCAGTACTAAGTACTGAACAACAGATGCCAACTTGAACTAAATGGCACTGATCGCTTATCTATATTGAATTGTGTTAACCAATGAAAAAGAAAAAAAATATAGCCGTCACGACCTGACATAGTTGTACCATACTTTGTCGAACTCTGACATGAATATAGTACACAATACTGTGACTACGGAGCATTGCCATCATGGAAACATAACATTCATGACCGAAACATCATCAAAATACAATATCGGCATAATTTTAAACATCGTCAAAAACATTATCAAAACACATCGTTACATCATCAAAACGCCACGCCGGCAGTCCCTTGTTTTAACCATGGAGGTAGTTTTAACAGTCTCACTGACTCCGCTTCGCCGGTTACGCCACGCCGGCTACAGCTCCGCCTTGTTGGCTCCGCCTGCTGCTCCACCTGCTAGCTCCACCTCACCGGTTCCGTCCAAAAACCGGCTACAGTTCCGCCATGCAAGTTCCGCCATGCTGGCTCCGCCTCCTGGCTGTGTCGGGGTTTCCCGCTCGGCTGCTCAGGGCCGAAAGTCGAGGCTTGGGGGGGGGGGCGATCTCCAATAACTCCAATCTCAGAGAAAATAGTCGATATCCGACTCGGCTGCGTGCTCAAGCACGGCCGAATTGAGATTTGGGGTAGGGGTGTCCGTAACTTCGGCACTTTTCCAGTGGAATGCTGGGGGCATTTCTGCCCAGGACCGAGTCACGAATCCGTCCTCCCGCCTCAACAGTGTCTTCCAGTCAGGTCTGCTAAATCTCGACGTCCTTCGTTGTTTCTTCTCCCGTCGGGAAGGGGCTCGTTGGAGTTCCGCCGACGTACGTGTGTTTCTCAGTCACAATCATCAACAAATTATAACAACAACCAAAAAAAAAAAATTAAAGGAAACAGCTGCGCTGTAGTCACGTCATGGCTGCAGTGTCACAGTGGGGGGGAGGGCAGCACATGGCATCATGGCGACGTCTTCTTCTCCCGCTCATCATGCTGGAATTCCGGGGTGAGGGACAGGCATCCCACCGCTGCCATCAGTGTAACGAGCCGTTCCTTGGCCCTGTCCCCCACCCCAGGGGTATCGAAATGAGACGAGACGCAGAGAGAGATGAGGCTCTGGCAAGGTCTGTATTCATGAAGTCAGGCACATGTCTGGAACTGCACTGGATCTAGCTAGTTCTGACAGGTGACCTCTGGGGGTCACCGGACTGGCCTATTGTACTGGTAGGGGGGTATCTTTAGGATCTTATACTAGCTGCCGCCACGCCGCGTGCCCGCGAAGCTGGTGTGTTACGCCGAGTGGTGAACAAAAATACCATGACCAAAGGGCAATCTCATCAAAATACATCTGATGTAAGATACCACATGGAAACAAACCTATTTCTAAAAAATATTCAAGGTAACTTCTAGCTGCCGCCACGCCGCGTGCCCGCGAAGCTGGTGTGTTACGCCGAGTGGTGAACAAAAATACCATGACCAAAGGGCAATCTCATCAAAATACATCTGATGTAAGATACCACATGGAAACAAACCTATTTCTAAAAAATATTCAAGGTAACTTCATAAAAGTCACAGGCGCAAACCACGTGTTGGGAAATTTGACAGGGTGTGCCAAACCAGCACATGGTTTATGAATGTTTACCTGCAAAAAGTAAGTCTAATTCGAACAAAAGCCATAAAAATTAGTTTAATCCGACAAATAGTGGTATATAGTATGGGTGGCAGTGAAATATTTAGCTCCCCGGAACAAACACGTGGACAAACCCGGCAACACAAATTATCATTAATAATTATTTTTTCATCGGTTTTTACAGCGGCATGAGAATGTTTTACCAAACTTTCTGGGAACAGGGGTCGTTTCTTCAACTTACTACTCGTTAGAGTAGAATAGACAGACGTCAAATGCCTAGTAAAATTTGCAAAGACGTGGCTGACACCGAAATATTTTCAACATGCGGAGGCCAGAATATATTCCTCTCAGTATTCTACACAATAACGCCAAATTAATGCGTTATATCTCGGACCAAACTGGACACAGACATACAAACAACAGAGTTAAATAGTCTTCACCTTCAGAACTTGGCGTTGCACGGCGCAAAGCACGAAT